AGGACCTGGCACAGCATCTGACTCCATATTCGGCAAATAATAATAACTTTTAAATGAATGAACAAAAGTTGACTTCAAACTATACTGTTTAAGTTTGCCATTAGAAATAGGACTTAAGTAAGTAGGATCAATTTAAAAAGAGGAAAGTGAGTCAGTGTTCCACTCATGTGAAATCAGGGGATAATGTCAACAAAATCGTTTTTCTAATGATTATCCCCACTTAACAGTTTCAACGTGACATATAATGTTCCTTGATTGGAAGGTGGTTCACATTTTAAGTTTATCTTACAAATGGAATGTGCAAATTTTGCTATGATTTTAATCCCAACCCATAAAAAATTTCTTTATTGTGCAAATAAAATCAGAAAACTTACCAAGAGATATAACCAAAGAATGGGATCTAAGTGTAAGCCACTTGGTCGTTTAACATTTATTTCAATATGCAAACAGTATTATGTAGTGTGTAGCTTCATGAAAACTGAAAAAGAAGGTTTTTTTAAAAAGAAACTTTACTTATTCTCACAAATTAAGCATTTTCAGTGTCCTTCCTCTTATAGATTTGTTTCCATCTGCTATTGCTTCCAGCATGAAGTCTTTAGTATTATTTTTAGTTCAGTTTTACTGGTGACAAATTCAGCCGTTTTACTTATCTGAAGATGTCTTTACTTTGGTTTAACGATGAAACACTTATATACTAAATATAGAATTCTTTGTCTACAGGTAGTTTTAGCATTTTTAAGGTTATGTTACTCCTGATAGGCTGGCCATAGTGTTTTGGTGAGTCAACTACTATGTATTATTGACTTCGAGTGATTGTAATGTTTCACTTGTTTTCTGGATATTTTCAAAATTTAGTTTCTAGACATGTGACTTTTAAATTTTTAGATGTACTTTTCATTCTTTGTCCTGCTTGGCATGAAATGAGCTTCTTCGATCTACATGTTAATACTTTCCATCAATTTTGGGAAATTTGGGACATTATTATTTTACCTATGTTCCCACTTGATTTTCTATTCTCTCTATATACAATTTTATTACTATGCTTGATATTATTTCACTATTGAGATATTATTGGTTTTCAATATTTTTCCAGTGCTTTTTATACTGGGTAATATCATGTCTTCAACCTCACTGATCATTCTTTCTGCTATTCTGCAGTTGCCTATCTCCTATTAAAACCAAGACAATGTATTTTTCCAGGCATCGGTTGAAGAATTTCTATTTTCCTTTATTTTAAAAGTTTTCATTTCCACACTCAGATCCTATACTGTTCATCCATTTGACCATACAAACATGACAAATGTATTTTTGTAAGTCCTTGATCTATTGTTAATGGTTAATTGAATGTTCTTTTCTGCTAAATGCAATATGGATCGTTTTAAGTCTTAGATGTTTCTTTAGACTGAAATTGTTTTCTAGCGTGTATCTTATTTTCTTATACTTTATATATCTTGTTTTTTTTAATCATGCATCAGACACTTTCTGTGGATAAGATTCAGAATTTTTACATTCTTCTGGAGATAGATGAGCTGTGCTGTAACAGGAGCTGCCTTACTGCTGTGGAGGACTGGCTTCACACTATTTTCAGGATGCTTGCTTACAGTTTTGCCCTTACACTGAGCAAGTCATCAGTCTGAGAATAGAGAAAAGTTTGGATCTATCCATCATTTGGAACTAAACTCTCAGGTCATTAGGAAGATCCTGAAATTGGTGAGATTCAAATTCTAACCTTGGGGGAATTCGGCCTCCGAAATGAGTGGCAGATGAAATATTGGCTGTTTTTTCAGTCCTTCTTTCTATTTTTCCATTCTTTCAGTATCTTGATGTTTGTTCCTTCTTCTCACATCACACAAAAATAAATACTTAGGAGAAGTTTATATTCAGATGTGGAGTCTTACCTTTCTGCTGTTCTTCTGTTTGAGATTTCCTCCTCATTTCAAACTGTTTTCATAGTCCCCCTCTTCATCTGAAACCCCATACCAGAAAGAAAACTGCTTTCTCCTGTTTCTAGTCACTCCGCACTTTTAGTATTAAGAGGATTCCTGAGTAGTGGGACTTTCATGCTAAAATCAAGTATATTCCAGGAAAATGGAGAATATCTAGTCACCGCTAAAGTACTTTGAGAGGGAAAAGGAATATGATCTTAGATCTCATCCCATTCTGTTTCTTATTCAACCTCAAATCTTCATACTTTCTAGTTGCTTTTTAGTTTTTCTAATAATTCCCATGGTTGTTTTAATTAATTTTGTCAACAATTATAGTTATCTACAAGATGATTATCAACTTTGGCATTGGTAGACTTTGCACCTAAGTCACTGAAAGTAAAATATATCTTGTCAAATGAAGCGAAACAGTATACATTATCCAACTTTTATATTCATAATTTGCTTCTGGGCATAGGGATCAAACGGTAACACTACTAGTTTCAAGTTTAAAGTAAAATTAAAACTACATTTAAAAAGGAGTAACTTGCAAACCTGCTCTCCAATACAATGGCAATGCCTTATTTAGTAAAAGACATGTAGGTGATAGTTTTCTTATTTCTATTTTCCAATACTTAATACAATTTTACATAATACGTACTATTTTCAATGAAAATATAAGCTATGGTTATCAAATAATGGTTATTTATACACAGTATAAACCTCTTATTCAAGATGAGTAAGAATAAATATAGCTAACAGCTGATTACAAAATACTATCAGAGGTCACTTGCAAATACCAAGAAATTTAGCTGCAAAGTTTTAGAACATAATTTTTGAAACTTATTGTAGATGCTAGTTATCAGAAAAGAAAGATCAACAGAGGGAGCAAATTCCTGAGAATTAGGAAGATTCCAATTACAGTTATGCCCAGATATGATAAAAAATGAAATTTCCTCTATGGGTTCTCCTAATATACTAGAAGACATCCTGTTGTTAAAAAAGATTCATCACCCCCTTTTTTTTCTTTGTCTTACTTGCTTGATTTTTGTAGGCGTCTAATTATTGCAGACATGTGGGCCTTAACCTGCAAAAATAGCCAGATATTGTTGCTAAAACTAATATAGTTATAAAGAACATAGATTCTTTTAAAAATCAAACTGGACTATAATGAGAGGCAATATTCTTATTGCTGCACAAAGCAGGAAAATTTCAAAGAGAAAAGTGATTTACATATGCTCTGCCTTTATTTCAGTCACAAAAGAAGGAAATCAACTATGCATAGGAATGCGATGGTTTTTAATTGTATTTTGCCCAGATCCCTTAAAGACAATTTTGCTTATGGCAGAGTTCTAAATCCATACAGGTTTCCAGGTGTGTCTGTCAGGCCTTTTCTGCTTCACTGTCAGAACGCACCTCCTCAGCCCAAGTCCCTGGAAGTAGCTGCCAGTAATTCTGCTTTGCTTGAGTGTTTTTTTGTTTTTGTTTTTGTTTTTTTTTTTGCATAGTTTGCAATGGAGGGTACACCGATGATCTTGTGTCCTATTCCTAACCCATGGACTTCTGAGTCTAATTCCATTTCCAGAAGATTTTCCTCTTGCAGAAAACGTACTGGTTTAGAGGTGATTCCCAGTCAGGGCCTGCTTCATCCTTTTCCGTGGTACCTCTTCATGAACATCTTGGGTGTGGTGTGGTTTGTGAGTCACTGTTGACTCACGAAACCCTCCTCTACTCTGCCCCTGAGGAGTGAATGGGGCTCCCTCTGTGGTGCATGAAATAGGTAGACACAAAGAACTATCTGCTTTGTATCGGTATCCACGGTAACATTCTAGCCAGGAAGGAAGCATACTAACAACACCCACCCACCCCAGGAAAGTTCAAGATTTTTACCAAAGACTGATAAAAGTCAGTCCTCTCCCAAGAATGAGAAATTCTTCTGCATTCTTAGATGCCTTTTTGACCATCTTCTTTTGTCCTCTCTTCTTTCAAAAAGCAACCCTTTTTGTGGTCTATATTCTTTACCCAAGCAGACATCCTCACGCAGAGTGTTCTTTAAACTTCAAGAAGTTTGCATCATTACATTTTTACTGGAGGTAGAGAATAGAAAAGGGCAGTATAGAAACCTGCTGACCATAGAATTGTTCTACGCCTTTTCTTTTTTTTTTTTTTATCATCATTTTCTCCTTTCATCCAAATCAAACTTTCCAAATGTCGGAGAGAAGCTGCCGCTCGCTTCTTCCCCAGTGCTTGCTCTCCCACTCTCAACAATGTAATCACGATTTCTACGACTGCTCAATTTTAAAATAAGTACTCTTGGCAGATCTGACAAGATAACCCTTCTGGCACGGGTGATACAGTTTCCAGGCTTGCTAAAGCATCTCTCGTCTCCATGAACACCGGTCCCTGGGGGTTTGTGTGAGCAGAGAAGGGTTAAAAAGCGCAGGCAAGACACCACGCATGTGTTAATTCCGGCTGCAGCAGCGCTCATCACTTCCACTTTGACCTCGCAGTTAATCTGCTGAGGGAGTGTTAATCACGCGGAGCCTCTAGTGATTTTTTTCTCTCTCTCTTTAAAATGCAAACAGAGAGTTCTGAAAAAAAATTTTTTTTAAATAAAGAAAACAAAGCCAATAAATAAACCAAAAACGATGGAGCTGGGGGAGTTCGCGTGAGTGTGAGCAGCGTGATTGTGCGCGCCTTTCTGTCTCTCCCTTTCTTATTTGTCTCGGGTGAATCTCTCCCCGTTCCCTCCCCCGGCTCAATTGTATTATTCCCTTACACTTGGAAGCCGGCAGCCAGAGCTGACGCTTTGATGTTATCCGCAAGCGTCTGGGCTGATCTTATTTCTGCCCCCTGAATATTAATTCCTGAAGCTGGCAGCGA